AGATGCAGATGGAGGCAGCTGAAGCCCTGCAGAGCTCATCCCTGCTCTTTGTGCTGTCAGCCCAGGAGCTGATCCAGGCTCACCCTGACAGCTCCAAGACAAATATTTCAATATTTACCCAAGTGATCAAAGGCAGAGATTAACTCCCATTGTGAAGCCAAACCACGAACCCCACCTAGCAAAAAGGTGAAGATAAAGGGTTTAGACTAAGCTTAATTTTTGTGCCTTTTACAGTGCTGCTGTTTATTTTCCTTTCACAAGCCTCTCACTGAAATTCCCTATTTAATCTGAAGGATCCCTGCAAAGACTCCCCATGAGCTACTGGAATAAGCAAGGGAATAAACATGATGTTGTTTTAAGCACTGAAGAAGGGGGGAAAAATCATCTTTTAAGCTGCAGTGAAGTCCAGAGAGACAAATTAAAGGCAAATTGGGTAATGTAAGTGCAGGGTAAGAGCAGGGCTCTGGAAGAGGAGCAGTGAGGGTCAGCCAGCCCTCTCTGTCTGCAGCACCGAGTCTCTGTTTCTCCTACCTGCCTCAAACCCTCCTGAAAACACCAAGAGTTCAAAAAGCTGCCTCATGATGTGCCCAGAAATATTCCAGTTCCACAGAAACACATTCAGAGAAATGACAGGTCAATTTAGTGTGAAGGCTGACGAGCTCAAAGGAGGGGCAGAGAAAAGAGTTCACATTTTCCAGGAGGTCCCAGCCTGCCCAGCTCTGCAGCCCCTCCCCAGACAAGGGGCTTTAATGCACTAACAGCACATTAAACCCAAGCTACAAGCTCCAAAGTTCATGGCTTGAATATTTTAACTCCCAGCTACTTGCTGAGGCAATTCAAGCCTTGCAGGACCCCATTAATTCACCCAGCTGTCAGATCCTTGCTAGAACAACTCCTGAGCACGCTGCAAAACAGAAAGGGTTTGTATTCCCAGTTTTTAAACCTCTCTAAGCCTCCCTGTTAAGCTTTTAATAGACTTCTCGACATATGTATGACTTCATTATAATCCTTTTAATTTCCCATTCAATGAGCCAAGCCAGGGACATCCCACCTCAGAAGCCAAGGCTGAAACAAAAAAAGAAAATCCAAGCAGCAGATTGGTGGGGAAGCACCATCCGAGAGAGAGCCAGCATGAAACCAGCGTTTTGTAGGCAGAAAAGGTCCCTGCTATTCCTTGGAGCCCCCAGAGGAGCCCCCAGGGCATTCCCAGGCTGCAGCAGCTCCAGCACTCACAGCCTGTGGGGACACAGTGACACTGGGACAGCAGTGCTGGCATCCTGAGAAACTTCTGCACCCCTCATCCCAGAGCTGCTGCTCCACATCCTGACACCACAGGTGCCAGAATTCCAGGATGGTTTGGGTTGGAAAGGATCCTGAGCCCACCCAGTGCCAGCCCTGCCATGGCAGGGACACCTCCCACTGTCCCAGGTGAGCCCTGTCCAGCCTGGCCTTGGGCACTGCCAGGGATCCAGGGGCAGCCCCAGCTGCTCTGTGTGTTACTCCCAGTGTTTATCAGCACTCCAACACCTGGGAAATGTCTTTGTGCTCTTTGAAAGCCTCAGGAGCAGCTCAGGAGCTGAGACTGTGCAGCTGCTCAGCTCCTGAACCGCAGGAAGCCACAAATTCCTCATCTGAAAGAGCAGCAGGACCTGCAGGAAAAACCCTCATCCCCACTGCCCCTGCAGAGCTGGGGAGGCTCCACACTGCCTGCATGGCCTCTGTCCCCCCAGCTGTCACATCCCCTTCCCCCAGAACAAGCCCCCCAAAGCTCAGGGAGGCTCTCACAGAGCTCTGAGTCACAGGAACTCAGCAAAGCTGCTCAATTATTCACTTGGCTGCTGTTTTCAGCCTGCAGCCAGGGAAAGGTGAACTCCCCAGCTGTGAGCACGGGGATGCAGCCCCCTGTGAGGAGCCTGCAGAGCTCTGCCTGAAGCCAGGAAGGATAAAAGCCTCTGTAAGCAAGAACTTGCACCAAGAGGGAAATGCACAGGCAGGTAAAGGAGGAAAGCCAGCAGAACAGTTCTGATTAGAAGAACACACCAGTAGCTGTCCTATTTACAAAATGCTACACAGAATAAACAGGTTTTGGGATAGTTTTGTTGGGTTTTTTGTTTGGGCTGGGTTTTTTTTTTAATGCTTTTCTCCCACAAATCTCTGTCCTCAGTGTTCTCCATCCCTTCATTCCCAGGCTGGATTTGTGCTTGGGATTGTCCCAGCCCAGGTGCAGAACTTTGCCCTTGGCCTGAGGTTGGCACAGCCCCATCTCTTCATGCCTTAAGTTCCAGCTTCCATATTTTCCAGATTCTGTCTATATTAGTATATATTATTATTATTATTATTATTATACTCTGAACTTCATATAAAGTGTTAGCAAGTTCTCCTCACAGTTTAATTAGACCAAACAATCCTTTTCCAGCCCCAGGACCACGGACACTGCTGCAGCTTCAGGCCCAAAAAGTGCAAACAGCAGTGAATTGAGGAGAGCAAACTGGGAGGATGGGGCTGCACAACCTGGAGCTGGAATTGGACAATTAACCCCAGTATGTAAATGGACCAAAACTTATAAAAATATGACAACCCGTGACTCGGAGTCCATCTTGGGTGTAGCCTCAGGCAGGCTCTTGTACTGCCCAAGGTGCATCCTTTGAAGGCCTTTTAATCAATCCCTGCTTTATTCCT